AAGAGAAAAGTCGTCTTTTTTCTTCTTCTTCTGCTTTTTCTTCTTCTTCTTCTTCTTCTTCTTCTTCTTCTTCTTCTTCTTCTTCTTCTTCTTCTGCTCGCTGCGGCACAAGATGAATGTCCCTGTTAGTGAGCTCAAGTAAGCTCACCGCGTGAAAATAAATTAATATTGTGTATACAAAATCGGTGTCGTCGATTCTGCTGGAACATTTGTGCTTTTAATCGCGTTAAAATCGATTTCTGAGATATCAGTAAATAATTCTTTTAACCATCGCTCGTAACCACAATTACTGATTTATAGCATTTTACTTTTACTGTAAACTTGCAACAAATAAATTTTTATTTAAAATTTGGAGCAAAAACACATATTTGGGACGAGCGTTATGAACTCGCGTTAGCGGATTTATCCGAGAAGACAAATGCAATTGTCACGCAAACTGGGACACTCACCTTGTATACCCCGCGAAGTAAACACACTTTCGCTGTCGAAGACTCGTCGATTTTAATTGAACTGCGCATCCGCCCCGCCTCTCGCGATGTCCAGAGAGGAATCGAACGCGCGGCGGATCTCACGAAGCGAGCGCTTACATCTGTCTGTACCGACTAATTGGATTGACTGCGCGCTAATGACAGGCTTACATGGGACCGCCATAGGGAGGCAGGTCGAGCAACGAGGGCTATATCTGCGCCAACCATCCCCCGACAGAGGAGAATGTAAGAAAAAATGGAAGAACGATAAAGCCGATGTGGCGTTGTGTTTTTCGCGGCCGCGCGACGTCGTCCGTTGGCCTCCTGCGACTATGACACAAGTGTCCTTGTTTATTTTGCGCCGGAGACGCGCCTCACAATCCGCCGATTCGAGGAGCCACCACGAAGGCAGGCGCGCGATCGATACAGCCGACGAGCCCGATATCACGACGAGGTAAGCGAGTAACGACTCGCCGCTTGACCTGCTTCCTCTCAGCGGCTTCCGCGCGTCCTCCGTCCGCGGCTTTAAACGCGGGATAATCGCGGTCGGCAGCGAACCCGTCGCGCGCATCGCCAAGGCGTGTCTCGACATTCGGGATCAAGCGAGGAGAGAGTGGAATCAAACTACATCGTGAGATTCGTAATTTGTACGATTGTAGATCGCGTTGATAAAAATGGTCGAAAAGAATCGCGAGAAGCCTCCCCCAGAGAAAACTGTTGGACCGTCGTGAGAGACAATAATTGACAATCCCCTACCGCCTCTCGCGAAATATCGCGACTTCCTCGTCCCGCGGAAAAAAAACGGCCTCTTCTGAGGCGAGAAAACCATCGACCGCGCGATCTAAAATTAAAGCAGAGGGAAATGCCTTCGGACTGGACTGTCGTTATCGGCGATATCGATTTCGCCCATCCTCATTGGCATTTACGCGGGCAGCTGTCCGCTGGCCCGCGTAGGCGCCCTCTTCCCCCCCCCCCCCGCCTGATGTAAACCCAACGGCCTCAATTAATATACTACATTTGCGTCTTCCTGTCTTCCTGTCCTCCCTGCCTCGTGCGCGCACAGGTGAGGCACAGGTCTCTGTCGAGTCATCGTACCGTATGTCGCGGTCGGGACACAGAAACGAAACGGAACGGAACGGTCAAACGGGTCCGCGAGACGGACCCGGCGCGACGTACGTGATATATTTCGACCGAAGGGACATGATAAAAACGCGGTATACGAGAGAGAAAGAGAGAGAGAGAGAGAGAGAGAGAGAGAGAGAGAGAGAGAGAGAGAGAGAGAGAGAGATCCCGCGCGCAGGATTCACGATCGATTGTGATCCAGGCTCGAACGCTTGATCGGGGGGAATCGAGGACACCGCCCTGCGAAGAGACGAGTCGGCGCCAGCGGTGATACAAGAGCTTATACCGCTTACTGTATATCGCATTACCGTAAGATTATACACATCGACACATTCAGGGTTAACTGCCGCTAAGTGTTATTATTAATTAACGGTTAATAAGTAGGCGTTTTCAATTATATGCCAAACGCAATTCACCGACGAGTAACGCTCGAGTGCAGCCGCCGCCGCCGCCATCGCGATCGAGGATGCGACCGGCTCGGCTTGCGAATCGGCAGGAAGCGCGATCTTTGCTCTGCTTGCAAGCCGGGACGGGAATTCGCTTCGATTCGCTCTCGCTTTCGCCGGGGACTTGCTTCGAGGCTTCCGCTTGCCGGGGCTCTCTTGATGCTTTATGACGTCACCAGCGAGAGAATGCACGCTGAAAATTCCTGCGAGGTGCATTAAGGTAGAGGGAACATGTCCGAAAAGTGACACTTGCAATCGGTTGGGCACATTTGTGAAGTGCTCCGAGCACTTTCCATTCGTCCCGTCGATAAATCGACCGATAAATCACCGTGAAAATTAACGCGACGTGCAACTCGCGCACCTCTTCAGCATATCTTCTCTCGTGATTGTGCCATTAATGTTAATTTTATCGGTGACTTCGATCGATTATGTTAGAGCAAAGGGGAAACGTGTTCGAAGTATTTATAAATGTGCTTAGTGCTTGCGACTGCAAGTGCCATTGTTTGGACATATTTCTTTATTTCGAGGATATTTCCTCGAAATTTCCTCGTCTTCAACGTCATAAATGGTCAAGATGGCTGCGACCGGTATCCGAGACATCTAACACGTGAAGACTGGCTAACTCGTATCTGGGTTAAACGTGACACTTTGCACAAGTATATATAATTAGTTGCGTCATATATGTGTGATTACGAATAATTTTCTACGATTTCTGAGATTAATTATTAATCAGTGCGTAATTAATCGAATCAAGATAACCGGCTGAAACAGTCATATATATAATACGTATGTATATAATTATGATTCTCAGTCGACGTTCATTTCTATCCTTTCAGTCAAGCGAAACCTCAATCGATCAATCGTCCAAAACTGACGTCATTCATTGTGGCTCAAATTTTTTTATTCAAATATTATTTCATTCTCTCATAGAAGTAATAAGACTGATTGAAGACAAGTCCCCGAGAATTTCGGCCTGATGGAGCACACACGTGAATTCAGCGTGGCAATCAACGTGTTGAATCGGCGAGAATTGCGACGAGGCGATTTCCTGATTCCTCGCGATTTCGCGAGCAAACGAGACTCGGGGCAAGGGGCGGTCGTCGGGATTGTCGTCGGGAGAGAACGGTGTGTTTTGCGTTTGGCATAGGACACAGGTACAAGTGCGCCGTCGTCGATCTGTTCTATCGTAGAAAGAAACACTTGAGCACGCTTTTCACCGTCGGGGTTCCTCCCTCCGAGGGTGTGTGTGTGCGTGTGTGAATCTCATTTGAATTCGCGAGCGTCGCAGGCAAAATCAGAAACGTCGCGTTTCCGGCGAATTCTCGATGACGTTCGTTCGGGATCTCGATTCAATTAACCATCCGTCGCGGCGATGTTTCACAACACACTCCAAGTTTGTATTTTTAGCCGTCGGAAAACGTCGCGGCGTGACCACATTCGCAAACGCGCGACAATCAAGTCGCCGCTGCGCGCTGCGTCGCCAAGAGCGCGAGCGGGACTTTTTATATCGTTAAGGCGTAACGAGAGAACGCCGTCCTTGAAGCGCGTTGTTGAGAACAACACGCGGGAACGGGAATCCGGAGCGAAGGAAGGACACGCCGGCTCAAGGTGCCGCGCTCAAGTGTCACCTTCCCGAGTGTTTAACGGTTGGAACGACCAGTTTAAACTCTATAGTAGAAAATTCTCAATCGTGGAATCACAGATATAAACTATACAGCCCTCGAGACACACTACACGTCGTTTTATAACACTTCTGTCGCTAAACACCTTCGTAAGATTGAGAGACACACATAAGGATGCGCGATAAGGACTCGACTCGCGCGACAATTCGCGACCAGACGATACATCGGACGTTACTCGAGAGACTTCGGGAAAAGAGCTAAATTAATATCCAATCCAGTCCACTAGCAGTCCCCCGCCCTCCTCCTCTTCATTCATTTCGTCTGGTCTGGTGCTTAGTATAGTATAACAAAATATAAATCTGAAGGCGACACACACGTACGCGCGGTCGCGATCGCGATCGCGATCGCGAGCGGGCTCTGTTCGCGAGTCGGATCGAGTCGGCGCGCGTCGGCATGAGCGAAGAAGAGAGCAAACATCCAGAAACTGGCAGATCGTCCGACTTTTCCTGTCCCGACTTCTCCCTCCCAGGGAGTGATATTCGACGACTCGCGCTCGTTCGTCATCGTCGCCCGGGTTTTCGGCGCGGGTGAAACCCCCCTACGATTGCAAAGTCGCAAAGCGTGCAAACAGGTCGTGTACACATAGACTGCTCTGAGACAAGATGCAAAGGACAGTTTTATTCCCCTTCCACAGGCATGTCATCTTCGTCCAAGTCCCTCCGAGCAGAACGAAGGTAGACAAAGATGGAATGTCTGTGGCGCGGGCCGTCCTCTTCAGATGTGGTCTTCGCAACTTCTCGAGGAGCGCGCTCGGTCTGTGTGTTCCTTGGCAGTTTCCAAGCGGTTTCAGCGCTTCTTTTGGACGCGCGCGGTCTCTCTTCCGACCGGATCTGATGAGAGTCCAACAAAGAGAGAGAGAGAGAGAGAGAGAGAGAGAACTCGTTTCCGAAGGAATTGGCGGGAATCAAGCTCTCTCGCTCTGGACAAGCCAAAGTGCCAAGACCGTTTCGAAAGCTGCTCGAGTTTGCAAACCGGCGCGAAGGGTGCATCGAAGGGAGAGACGACGATGATCGAACGATGCGACGAGGAAGCTCGGCCGACGTACGCGCGCGCGCGCGCCAACGCGACCTGACCAACGCCCTATACAACACTTGTACACAGGTAGATATTTGTCTAGTACGTACTCTTGTTTCCATAAAGACGTTTGTTACAGCGGTTATGGTCGGTCCTGACGAGAGACGACGTTCGGTCCTTCTCTCTCTCTCTCTCTCTCTCTCTCTCTCTCTCTCTCTCTCTCTCTCTCTCTCTCCCTCTCTCTCCCTCTCCCTCCCTCTCCCTCCCTCTCCCTCTCTTTCTCTCCCTCTCCCTCTTCCTCTTTCGTTCCTGCTTCCCTTCCTCCTCTCGCTTAGATCTCATAATTGCGGAACTTACTGACGATCTCGCTGGGCTCCTGACAATTAAACGGGACCCCGTGGCCCGAACGGTAATAGAGATTCGTGGCCCCCCCCTCCGAGGCCCTCCTGTGTGCGTTTGTGGGGTGGCCCCTGAGGTGAGACGGCGAGCCGCCCGCTTCTCCGCTCGTGTCCGGCAGCATCCGATCCTTCGTCTTCGGCGTGCTCCAGTGCATGGTCTGGCGAGAGAGAGAGAGACAGCCGGAGAAGATTCGCGGGATTAATCGCGCGACAAGGACGGACGGACGGACGTGTGCGTGAAATGAGACGTGACCCGGCGGGGGACGATGAATAGCGCGCCGTGTACGCACACGGTGACCCATTTGACGAATGTTCGCCTCTCGTAGTATCTCGAAAGAAACGCGTTATCCGCTATCGAAGTCAAATGCTTGAGACAAAAGGCGAGAGACAGAAGGGCTCGGACCGAGAAGCCCGAGGTCTGAGAAGCCCGTTAAAACCGGACGGCTTTTGTCGGGGGCATTTTTTCGAGCGTCTCGATTTTTCCGACATTCTTCAAGAGGGTATTCGAAATGGACCACCCTGTATATACAGCGCACATTGCCCGGATTGCATCGTCGTCGCGCGACCTCTCTCACCTGCTGCACGTGCTCTTTCATGCCGAGCCATTGCTTGTAACTGATCTTGATGCCGCTGTTCCGCCACTTGTCGTAGTTGCATCTCTTCTCAGGATCGCAGAGCACCTCCTTCGCGTACTGCGATATACAATAAACGGGACGATCAGTCGCGGCCCATCCGCCCGACACCGCCGAGAAGCTCGCTTCGGCTTGGCTTAAAAGGAAGGGGGGGCGGGGGCAGGACGAAAAAACGCACCTTCAACAGCTGAAATTTCTTCTCGGCCTCTTTATCGCCGTCATTCTTGTCCGGGTGGTACTGAAGCGCCAGCACTTTATATTCCGCCGTGATCTGCTCGACCTGATTCGGCAAAATCGAACGGGGATTGGCTAAGACATCGGATGCGGCGAGAATGGAGATTAATCTATTCGCCGGCGCTACACGGCGATCGCGCGCGCGCGCGCGTCCTGCCGACCCTATTGTTTCGTTATTTCTCAATTGAAATGAATTATAGTCGAGAGCGATGCGAGGCTAAAACGGAGTAACTATACGAGAGAGCGGCTTTATATGTTCGGCTTTAGTCGGATTTTATTTTCACGCCTCCGCTCTACTCGATCGTCCTCGCTCGTCCTCTCCTTCTCCCTCTTCCCTCCCCCCCCCCTCTCTCTCTCTCTCTCTCTCTCTCTCTCTCTCTCTAAGCACACATTTGCATATATTCCAATCGCGCGCTGCAAAATCACGCGCACATAGTGGTACTCGTCGGCGGGAAACGAGAGCTCTATGAATACGCTGACGCAATTTATCGACTCGAGGCTAAACTTTTGTCACGAGTCCGACGGAGATGGCGATAGAGCGAAACGTAAACTCGGCAAAATTGAAAGGCAAATGACCTTTTCGTCGTGCGCACATTCGCGTCGCGATACTTTCCAATATCCAGCTGCGCCGCAATGCGCGCGGAGAGATCGTTAGGGAGAAAGAAAGAGGGAAAGAAAGGAAGAAAGAAAGGAAGAGAAGAGAAGAGAAGACAAGGAGCGAGAACAGCGATGACGATTAAGTAGTAAATTCGAGCGCGACGTGCGTTCGTCCAAAGTTGATTTGCGCGAGATATCGTTGCGGCGTTGGCCCGGAGCAAGGAGAGGTGGATTCACCAACGGCGATTCGTTGTAATCGTCGGTGATCGAGGCGGCACGGGCGTCTCAACGACACAATCTCGCGGAGACAATTCCATGTCGACGGTAAGATTGTTGCGCAACTTCGGCGAGTATACACCGCGCGCGCAGGAAGTGCGGAGCGCGCGAATGGGTCTACTGGACTAACTGTGTTCATCGACAATTCAATTAATGGCAAGTTTAAATTGCAGTTTCCTCCGGGGGATCCGATTATTGCGCCAGCGACTCGGCGCTCTAATTGAACTATCTCGTCACAGAGCGCGGGAAATTCATTTTATGCACAACGTTCCCGGATCCGACAGAGAGAGAGAGAGAGAGAGAGAGAGAGAGAGAGAGAGAGAGAGAGAGAGAGAGAGAAACCGGGCGAAACAGCGGTGTGCACTTTCGCGCGAAGAACTGTCGCAGAGGGGCGACAGAAATGTTGTACAAACTCGAGAGGGATTCCCCAGCGAGCGAAGCTACGCGCGAAATGTCAACCGCGGAGCCGCGTTCGATATTCTAAATCGTAGCGATTCGCGCGTGTGTGTTGTTGTTGCATGCATTACATCTGACATTTTCGTCAACACCGAACGAATCCTTCCCGAGCGATCCTTTGCGAGCCTATTCCGAGCCCCGCTCTTCTCAACGCGAGGAAGCCCGACGAGGAATCGAAGGAAAATCCTCGAGAGCTCGCGAGACGGCGTTCACCGTCGTCGTGCCTCACCGTGGAAGACTCGTCGCAGGACAACAGCGCGTAATAGTCCTCCTCCTCATTGGGCGAGTAATTGATGGCGTCCTCGACACTCATCTCGCGGCTCTTTCCGAGATCCTCGCTCGTTCACAACTCCTCCACGCGTCCTTCGCACCCTACGGATCCGCGCGCGCCAAAACTGCGAACGCTGCTCCTGCTGCCGCACGATCGCCGCAAGCACTCCGCCGCTGAAGCCTTCGTTCGTGGGACCCGGTGACCGGGTCGAGAGATTGAGATCCCGTCACCTGTTGCCGTGTGAGTGAGCCCGTGAATGGCGCGTCGCCGACTAGCCGCGTTCGCTGTGGTGCGCCGAGTGAGGGGAAATTGTGTCGCCGAGACCCGGAAAGACCCGATTCCCGGGGAATTCCACGCGACTGCGTATTCGAAAAGCCCGAGCCCGCATCTCTCTCTCTCTCTCTCTCTCTCTCTCTCTCTCTCTCTCTCTCTCTCTCTCTCTCTCTCTCTCTCTCTCCTCTCTCCCTCTCCCTCTCCCTCTCCCTCCCTCGCCCTCCCTCCCTCCCTCCCTCCCCCTCTCCCCTCTCTCTCCTTCTACCCCTCCCTCTCTCTCTTTCTCTCTCTCTCTCTCTCTCTCTCTCTCTCTCTCTCTCTCTCTCTCACCTCTTTTATACGATGTACACATCCCATGCGCAGTTGCGCGTCTGTTACGACTCGGTTCACCCCTCGTGCGCCTATCAACCACCCCCCATCCACTCATCCACCCCAGCATCCAGCCACCCATCCGTCCGCTTGCCGTTCCCTGTCAACGTTCCACGGGGTGCGTTGCAACTGCGCGGCTACGGCTTTAATATAATTGTTGCGGAAACTCGCGTTTTGTTCCTCAGAGAGGGACTTGTTCCTCAGGTCCTCCTTGGGAATTGCCTGATTTCCCCTTTCTCCGATTCGTTAGATCGAGTTGAAAATTACTCGAACTCCCCGGAGAAGAGCGAGAGAGGGAAAGAGAGAGAGAGAGAGAGAGAGAGAGAGAGAGAGATCGCTTCCGCGCGCATACGAGATCGTGAGGGCGGAAGGCACCAGCAGGAAATCGCGCCTTTCGATACACGTCGAGGTAATGAAGGTTTTCTACGTCTCGTCGTCCTGTCATGTACCTTCGAACAGAATGAAACTTGTGCTCCTCCGCGCGACGCATCGCGACGAGCGCGATTTTACCGCTGGTGCGTTACACGCGTTATTCCGAAGGAAACGTTCAAACTTGCCGCCGGAGAGACAAGTCCCTCGGCGGACGTTCATTCGATAAGCACTTTCATGTCGGACGTCGCCGGAAACTCGTCGAGGATTGCATCAACGCCGATCAACGATGACTCGTCGTCTTCGTACATTGACGTGGAACGTCGTTATCATCGCGCTCCGACTAACGCGTCCGACTCGATTTCGAAACTAACGGAGCGGAACGAGCGGTCGTCCCGCTTTTTCCTCATCGAGGAGATTGCGAGTGTGCAAGAAGCACTTACGGAACGACACTTACGAGCACGAGATATCCAATGTCACGTGTAACTTTAATGATTCTCCCGCGAGGATCGCGACGAGACGAGTTGCTCGCGAACGTGCAGAACGAGAGTGACATCGAGAGCCCGACGCATCCGACGTCTTACTGACGTAGACACGAGATTCCGGAGAGCCGCGGCTTTCACTCGCGGTTAAACAACCTTGATCCTCTTTTTATCTCGCAGCCTTACCGATCGAGCAAACGCGAATCACTCGTGCCGATGAATGCGCGATGACGGATGTATCCGCGGATACATCCGCGCGTGGCGAGAGTCTCTTCTCGGAGGTGGAAGTGGAGAATCTCTTTTCTCCTTTTTACCCCTTCCAATCGAATTCGCGACACGTTCCTCGAATCATCCTCATCTTTATCGGAAAACTGCGAAAGGAAAAGTGCGGAATCCGCGAGAACGATCGGTAAGGAGAATCCGTCGGAAGTCGGCTCGAGACGAAGTCGCGACGCGAACATAACACGCCGATTGACGAAGCGCTACTCGTACTTCTGCATGCGGGCTTAATTAGAAATTCAAATTTTCCGGAGAATCACGAGGAAGAGCAGACGAGGGGCAGAACAACGAAACGTGAGTGAGTATGTAGAGATGCATTATGCGTTCAAGCTTGCCAAGAGGCTGCCTATCGCACACGCTAAGCCAAATTTAAGGGAACAATCTACCACCAGCTGAAACTTCAACGGACGGACCGAACACGCGTGAGATCGAAGAGAAAGAGAGAAAGAGAGAGAGAGAGAGAGAGAGAGAGAGGGGGGGGGAACGAGAAAAAACAAAAGAAAAGAATGAAAAAGGAGGAACATAGATGCCGCGAGACTAGCCAGCAGCGCTCTGGTTCCCCGCGTGGAGCATGGCCATTCGTAGTCGACACGTGTCAGGTCGATACTTACAGCATCAGCAAAATTTGTGACAAACCGTCGCGTTTGGGAAAACGCGACATTTTTTACAGCTGCTAGCTTTTCACGAACGATTCCCGCACGACAGACAGAGCGTAAAAATGGCCAACGACGGAAAAATCAGTGTTGCGCTTCACTCGCGTGGCTGGCCGAAATCTCGTCGAGGTCGAGAGACACGCGGCTACCGCGCGAGCGGTAGCGCGTCTCGTGATAAATTAGGCCCGTCATTAGTAGCGGTCTCTGATTTGTTTACGAGCGTCTTCGAAATCCGAGCAAATGCGCCGCGTGCTCCTCGCGCGCAATCGCGGCAAATCAAGCAGCGGCCATCGGAGGCGGATTACGCTACGGTAATCACTCAAAGGGCTTTACGAGGCACGGCCGAGGGTAACGTGTCGAAAGGGTCGAACCCTTTCACCGCTCGAGGAAATATGCACGTCCACCGGCAGGAAATATATGCTCCGCTTCGCTTCCGTACGCATATGCGTGACAGACAGACGCACGCAAGCGTGCACGCGTGCGTGCGCGCTGCGCCGCGCTGCGCCGCGCCGCTCCGGCCTCACCTCAGCTCGGGATTAACGTTAAATGCACCAGGTACATATGCACTAGCTACATTTCGGTCGTCTGATAAACGCGCTCGCGACGGCGGGTTATCTGAAAGATACCGCGGCCAAGTTGCGCGAGGTTGCGCCACGGTGGCGGTGAGGGACGCGTTGCATCAACATTAACGCCGAAAACAAATATTTCGGCCCTCAACATCTCGCTCTGTGACACGCAACGAGCGTCATACTCGTGTATTTAGATATCTAAAATCGTTTTGGATATAAGATTCTTTCTATTTAAAATAAAAAAAATTAGAGAGCAGCGAGCGTTCGATTTATGAAACACTTCTTTTCCATTGAATAAATAATCCTAAATAATTTTCCATTGAAAATTATTATGAGACTGTCTGGAGGAAATTCTAGTTAAATCTTTTTTCACTTTCTACTAAAAAAAGTAGGAAAAAACATAAACTTGTAATTTTAAGTACTCTAAATGGCATTTAATGTAATGTGCAACGCGATACGATAAATAAATATATGTATGTACTTACGCTGAAATATGGACCAGTATGTCTTTAAGTTAATTTTCTGCAAAAATTCTTGCGTTTCGTTCATAATGAAATATCCGGGAAAAGCAACACAAACTGAATAACGATCTCACCTCTTTTTCCTTTTGCTCTAGACGTCGTCCATAAAACAAATATGGCAACGATCGTCATATGCACAGACAGAGTGTCTCTGTGTGAGTAGATGGAAGAGGAAAAACTCCGACAAGCGTTCCTCTTGATATAGAGGAAAATTAATTGAGGATATAAGAGGAGATCCTCTTAAAATGAGAGGAAAACGGTTTGAATAAAATCTAATAAATTTTAGATGAATGGTGGTTCACTTGATCGAAAGAGGAATTTTCCTTTTCCTGTAAAGGGCTTCGCTCAGTTCATATGAAATTATAGGAAAAATCACTTTACGAATAGAATACTTTTTTCGGGGTGTTATATCCATTTCTCCGATAAAAATGGTACCAACGCGCTAATCAGAAGCAGAAGTTACCCGGATAAGTAGCCGATCGAAATTATGCAGTTATTTTCTTGAATTTTCATTATGTTCTCCAGGAAGAAAAGGATAATTACAGAATAAACAGGCCTGATGCCTAAATTATAAATGTTTGTAAACGTGAAATAATCTAATAATAAATAGCATTCAATTGGTCGAGTCTAAGATGAAACCGTGAGTGCCGTGAACCTCTGAAACTCCCGAAAGTCCCGGAAACACCGGCAGAGATCTATTTTGCAATTTTCAACGACAGCGTTGCAGAAGAGAGATTCTCGCTGAGATTCTCAGACTCCCGGAAGAGACTTCGAGGAGGAAGAATTGGAGATAACTCGGGCGTAGTGAGCACTCGCCAGATTTTTCACGGTAATCGACGTAATCGCTCTTTCTTACACAACACTATAAATTGCAGCTCGATCTAACGACAGCCCGGTCGTGGTACGGTCGTGCGAGGAAAACTCGACGGGACTCGACGGGACTCGACGGGGGAAGAGAGGAGGCGAGGAGGCAAAAAAAAAGGCGTCCTCGCGCGTACGAGGGTTGCAGGAAGAGCTCGCGCACGTGAGCTCGCACACCTCCGCTTTTCTTCGGCGCCGGCAAAGGCGGACGGCATCAACGGGCAAAGGCGTCCTTCGAGCCGGCTTCGCCGTCCTTGTCTAGCCCGAAATAACGTTTCGTTTCGTACGCGAGGCGCACATGGGCGTTTCTTCGTGCGGCTGCCAGATGCGTGGGTGGTGGCAGTGAAGAAGAGAAGGAGAGCACGAGCTGCGAGGCAAGCGATCATATGGCAGTGCCGCCGATGGGGCTCCCTCCTGGCCTGGCTTGTCAGTGCTTCGTGAAGTGTTGCGCCGTAGCCGTGCACGGCGCAACACTTGCGTCAATCCCTGACCGAGCACGACCCTGGACACGGACGAAGCGTCCGTGATACCTCCTCGGCGGGGCAACGTGCTTCGCGAGGAGGAGAGAGAGAGAGAGAGAGAGAGAGAGAGACGCGCGACGTCTTCGCGCGAGCTTTTCACTTCACTTCGCGGCCGCTCCGGCCGCTTTCCTCCGACCAAGCTTCGAAAGCACGAAGGGGAACTAGTGGAAGCCGCGATCTCCGGAGGAGATCGAAGCGACGCCTCGACACGGCGGGATCGTAATTGGCTTAATGTTAATTGAGTGTCAAATGCGCGCGTGGATGCGCTCGACGACGATGCGATCGCGCGCAGTGTGCCCGCGACGACGACGACGGTCTCTCGTGCATGCTTGCGAACGGAGGAGGAAATAGGCTCGCAGGCTCAGCCCTCCGTCATCGATCAGCCCCGCGCGCGAAATCTGTCGTTGACATGTGATAGTAAAGGCAAACAATGGGTAACTTGTTGTGAAGTGCGAGAACGTCGATGCTCGTTCGTTCCAAGTGATCGTCGAAGCGACATGACTTGTTCCGCCTCGAGCGCGCGGTCTCTCTTCGCCGTCGCGAGTTTAAGCCGAGTGACCTCGGCTGAGTCGCAGAACGCGTGAGGATCGTACAATGCGGACGAAATTAACGGCGGACCGCTGAAGGTGAGTCGAGAGAGAGAGAGAGAGAGAGAGAGAGAGAGAGAGAGAGAGAGAGAGAGGCGCAAGTTTCTCAGACTCGTATTTCACGTAGCACGTAGCACGTTCGTGCTTTCTAACGAGCGATGTAAGATCAGTTGGACAAATTTGTCTCGCGGAAAGCCCGACACCGACTTCCGCGTGTTTTCAGACACTACAAAACGGCGCTGCCGCCGTTTCGATTTGTATTCATGGACGCAATTCTTTCTTTACCTATTCCATATCTAATCGGTGTTTAATATACAGATAACTAAGATAAAAATGTTTCCTATAATTCGGTAAGATTGGTGAGACAAAAATTTTTCCTCCTCAACGAGATGTGACACACAAAGTTTGAGAAATGCATCTTTTTTCGGAAAGAGAGGCAAGAAGAGAGCATTATTTATCAATAACGATAAAACTATCAAATCAATCAGACCGGTTTGTAATTTCTTATGCGAATGAATCAAACTCATGAAAGGATGCATTTCGTACTTTTTAATGAACGTTGCGAAGGAAAGTGAAAGAAATAAGTAGAGCATTTATATCCCTGAGGAACCTTGAGTGTTTTCTCTCGTTTTCAAAAACCTGCCGCTAGATCCTGCCAATCGTTGGTAATTCTGTTTAACATTCTAGAGGGATAATTCCCCTCGAGCGCGCAACGTAGAGAGATTATATGTTTAAAGAATTTGGTGAGAAAGGGAGGAGAAGCAACAGCAAGAACACGAGAGCGAAATGGTAAACACACGAAGAAATAGGGAAACGAGAACAACGCGGAGCGGAGCCGTTCTACCGGAGGGGAACTCTCCTCTCGATTACGCTCGCTCTCAAGCGGCCCTTTATAGCGGCTCTCGAACAACGCGCCGCGTTCGTTCTGGACGTAGCGTGTGCCGCACATGTGCTCGTTTACAGGAGCACGTGCACCGCCGGATACAAGCCTCTTTTTATCATAGGCTGGAGTCGCGTTGCAGGTGCAGTTCGGGCGCGATGCAGCGAGGCGCGGCGCGGCGCGGCGCGGCGCGGCGCGACGCGACGCGACGCAGCAGCCGGTCGGTCCTTCGCGACACACAGGTCACAGGAACAGGCCTCTATTAATAGCCGCGAATGTGTGTGTGTGTGTGTGTGTGTGTGTGTGATTTGTTCGAGAAAGCGCGTCTAGCCGCGGCAGCGGCGCGAGCCGAGCTTCAACCAAGTATGACGAACTTCGGGCCTATTTTCAAAAATTATCTCGCTGCTCGAGAAGCATTTCTCGCGCTGCATCCGCAAAGTCATCCGCGACGTTCGCGCGAGGTGATGACTGACAGAGGACGGTCAGTCGAACGACAGACCCTTTTCTTCGTCGAGGTTGAAAGTAACTCCGAAATATCATATGAATAGAGAGAGAATAAATAAGATAAAGATAAGAAATCGACTCCATCTTTCAGAAGGGTAATCTTTCAGCAGGACCTTTGAAATTTGATTTGAAGGAGAGGATCATCATACGGGAGTATACTTGTATCTCGACGATCCTCCGCGTATATTAATAGCATCGCATGCTTCCTTCCATCAGCTGATCCATTTGGTAGGGTTTGGTTGGGGTATATCGGAACGCTTCTCGCACGAGAAGGTACGATCACCCTTTTTCCCTCTCTTTCCCGACCTCCCTCTACCTCTCTCGCTCTCCCTTTCTCCCTGTCTCTCGCTCTCTCTCTCTCTCTCTCTCTCTCTCTCTCTCTCTCTCTCTCTCTCTCTCTCTCTCTCTCTCTCTCTCTCTCTCTCTCTCTCTCTCTCTCTCTCTCTCGCACTCTCTCTCTCTCTCTCTCTCTCTCTTTCCACTTATCTGTACCTCTAGCAGGCGCATTCTCTCTCTGCCTCTCCCGGTTGTACGAAAATAGTAACCGCCATCGTTGCAGCAACTATGAGGGCATGAAAATTGCCGCGGCGGCGCGTATTCGCTGAACTAAATTCGAGGAAACGCGGAGATTCTCGGCTAATGTCATCAGTCGCGCAGCCACGCGGCTCGACGGAAATAATTGTCATGCAAACCCGATGTAACCCCGTGGGGGCGGGGTGGAATTATTCCCGCGGCTTTGGGCGCCGTTTGACGCGACAAGACGCTGATCGTCGTCGAGCGCGGCACAACGGCACCGACGGACGTCGCGGATCGGGTCGCCTTTCGGGTCATTGAAATTTGCCGTCGTTGCACGTCGGTGAACGTCGATTGCTTTCTCTTGCTCGTCGCACGTCGAGCATCAAAGCCGCGAAAAACGTTTCACGGGAATTCGCAAAGCGAGTTTCTCTTGGAAATTCGCGACAATTACACCCGGAGGGACGTGCAGTCGCAGAGAGACGCAACAATCCGGCCCGTTAAGGTTCACTCGCTAATGGAAGAAAATCTCTTCATGAAGCGGCGCGATCATCTCTTATAAAGCGAGGTAGATTTGATAGATACACCGCACTCTCGTCTTCCTCCCCGTCGCCCCAGATAATAACGGCGGATGCGACACGCGGAGAGCAACGTGATAATGTCGCGTGCATAAAACGTGAATGAGTCGCGTTCGCTCTCGACCCCCATTTCTCCATTCCACCCCCTTCTACGAGTGTAAGCGGGTCGAGTTTCTCGCGCGCCCGATGCGCGCCTCGCCGCGCTAAATATAATATTCGCGCGTATTTTCAGCGATGAATGAAAGACAAGAGGGAAAGAGAGAGAGAGAGAGAGAGAGAGAGAGAGAGAGAGAGAGGGGGGAGGGAGAGGAGCTTTATGAGATCTCTTTCTCTTCCTCCTTCTCTGACGAAAAGGAGAAAGTCGGCGAAATTCGCGCGACCGCAAAGTGTTGCGGAATTTCGGTGGAGGCGACGATGCGACGACGCGAGTCGACTACAATTTACTTGATGTCGACAGGTATCCCTCGTGGCAGCCCCAGGACGCGTTCCTCGACGGAGAAGGTCATCATGGCAGTCGGTGAGTTTTATCCCTTAGCGGCGCGCGATCGCGGCATACAGATCGCGCTCATACGACGCTCTCATCGGCGCTCAGCACGCCGGACACGTCGTACGCACGTATAATCGCGTGCGTCTGCCGCATCTCTCTCGCAGCCCCGTAGCCGCGGACAAACAGCAGCCAGTACGTCACGGTCGTTTCGGCGAAGCCGCGCGTCGTGCTCGCAAATGCAATTTGGCGGTAGCTCACGGTGTCGAATTTAAACTCGCGACGGCTGGCCGACTGCTCGTCTCGAATACCTCGATCGCCGGAATGGACGGCTCGTCGTTTCGTTATTTCGCGAAGGCTTCACAGCTCGGGAATTATATTTGAGGAACTCTCTCGGAGAGACAGAGACAGAGAGAGAGAGAGAGAGAGAGAGATCGTCGCAATTTTTGAAGGCGATTTGCGAGTGAGTGAAGAGTGATTCGACGAATTTGGCACACTGCGCGTGAAACGGATTCGCGATGTCTCGCACAATCTTATTTTCGGGGAAACATCTAATTTTACGTGTCGCGAGAGAAAAACACTCTCGATCGAACAGTCACGAAACGGACGGCTCTTCATCTCTCACGACGAACTCGAAGTTTTTCAACTGTCGAATTCGCGGTGGGGAAAAACCCAGGCGCGAAACGCGACTCGACCTCTGCCTCTCTCTCTCTCTCTCTCCCTCTCTCTCTCTCTCTCTCTCTCTCTCTCTCTCCCTCTCTTTCTCTCTCTCTCTCTCTCTCTTTTTCTCTCTCTCTCTCTCTCTTTTTCTCTCTCTCTCTCTCTCTCTCTCTCTCTCTCCCTCTCTCCATCTCTCGCTCTCCGCGGGGAGCAACGGCGCGGAGGATCGTGAATCGCGGTGGTGTATTTCCGCTGCAGCACCGCGTATTCCTGTCGGCTCACCGGGTGGGGGAACAATGCAACGTCCGGTCCGGTCCACCCCCCCACGACTGATCAGACCCATCGTGGCGAGGCTCGTTCATGGTGTCCCATGAACGTACAACGCGGATCCCACAGTCGCAGGTGGACTCTCTATTGGTCTAGTCGTGGCTGCGAGTCCAAAGCGTGAGAAGAGCGACCGTCGTAACAGTCGTAGTCGTCGTCGTCGTCGTTGTCGTCGTCGTCGTCGTCATAACTTCGTCACCTCGAAAGAGAAAAAGAGAGAGAGGGAGAGAGAGAGAGAGAGAGAGAGAGAGAGAGAGAGAGAGAGAGAGAGAGAGAGAGAGAGAGAGAGAGAGAGAGAGAGAGAGGGAGGGAAAGAAAGAGAAGAACACCTCATTCCGTATTCGGAGAGCGCACGATGCGACCATGTGTACATCGCCGGGGCGACATTGTACAAATCGCGCCGAACGTAAACGCACGAACGATACCTGGACCTTGATCTCGAGTCGAAGTCGACGATTCTAGATTAGAGTGACACTCGCACTCCTCGACGTAAAAGAGTTCGAACTCGGCGACGAAAAAAGGAAAAGGAAAAGGAAAAGGAGAAGGAAAAGGAAAAGGAAAGGGAAACGTTTGCGCGGAAGGGACTGGTCGATTGCCTTCTCTCGAGTGACCGTGCGCGCTCGTGATGAACGTATCGTGGAACCTCGCACAATTTCGTCGAACGGCTCCGTCTCGTATTGGCGCTAACACGAACGACTTTTGCGAAGGTTGTAAACATATGACGACCATTCGTTAGTTTCCCGCCGGGACTCAGAGACGGGGTCCCTCTGCGAGCTGCGACTTCAGTTTTGCGACCGTCCGGCCGTCGTCCGGCCGTTCGCATGTTCACAGATAACCCGTCTTACTTCTCGCTGTCCGGCGAAGCGTCTTCGTCGGCGGCGAGGACGACGACGATGACGACAGCGGCGACGACGACGTCGCCTAGGAACCACAGCAGCGGCTTCTCCGCGTTGTTCTGGAGGAGACCCAACAACAGGATGGGAACCGCCATCTCTCAGGGTGCTGTCCTCACGGAGCCCACGTCCGGTGTCCCGACGCACCACGACGCTCGAGGTAACGCGTCGGACGCGTCCACGCCGACGGAGGAGCGCGCGCCGATGCTGTCGCAGAACGGCGCGGTGCAGCCGGGTTCTGGCAAGAGGAGAAGCTTCCGGAACCTCTTCAGGTCCGTGAGCGCGAACGCGGATAATGAGAGGACCCAGAAGTTCCTCAAGGGCGACCCGAGGCCCTCCGATGTCGCGCCGCCATCGTCATATCTTCCTTACAGGTAAGTGTCGCAAACGCTCTTCAGCAAAAGGATCGAAAGCAGCCTCATCCGAATGAGCTCAGTCTTCGACGTTGTAGATTAAAAGTTAAAAAGTTAAAGAGAAAAACAAATTAAAGAGAAAGAAATTACCGCGTCTATTGATCGCAAATTTGTTTTCTGACGATCACTCATATATAAATACATCAGCTGATCGCTGATGTAAGTATGAAGGTATTAGAGGTAAAAGAAAATATAATATGATGTAAATATAAAGCGTCATCGAACCTTGAGCCTCATCGGTTAGACTCGACTTTCGCTTATTTCTGTTATTAAGAATAACGTTACTTGCAACGTAAAAGCAGGATACGAAATATAAAATCATCGTCGAACTTGGAACTCGTCGAACTTCGACTCGATCTTTACACTTTCCGTGTGTTCATTATTATATCGACGCAGGTCGCATTCGCATTCCGAGAAAGACCGGCATCGTCCTGGCCGCGGCAGAAGAGTCCTGAAATCCGCAAACGAGCTTCTGTCCAATGAGAGAGACATGATTTACTGCGGTTTGACAGGCAACTGCAAGGATCGCAACAGCGACGTGGACGGCAACGCCGACGACGACGACGACAACGACGACAACGGCGACGACGACGACGACGACGACGACGACGCGCAGGAGGTTTTCCTCGGCGTAAACGATGCCAGGTTAGCCACATACGTATTATCATCCCTGTCCCTCTAACGAGTCTCCGAAACTAAGAGAAAACGGATCGCGCTGACTGAGAAATCCTCGAATCTGATATCTTCCTTCCTAGATATTATAACATCTCGTCTACGCTTCCCGCGTCTGGTTCCACAACGGTCTGCCAACGGAGGCACTCAATCGGCACTTTCCTCGGGAAAGAAGCCGCCGCATCCGGCAGCGCCGCGGCTACTCTATGCCAGCAAACGGCAGGATCTAGGAATCAGCTAGAAGCGGACGCGCCTGCCGCTCCGGTATTTCTCGACGATACCGACGGCGGCCCCTCCAACGAAGAAGGACCCGTCGCCTGCGCCAGGACAAGACACAGGAGGCGCAGAAACTCGTCCAATAAGAGTGAGTTTCTCCAATTTTCCGGCGACTTTTGTTTTCAATCACGTTGCTATTATTTCGACAACACTTGTCCAGTCTCTCTGGAGCCTCATCGCAAGTCAGATTTTCCCCATCTGAATTTCGTTGCAACGAGAAAAATCGCGAAAGTCGCTGAGCCGCGCGCGCGCGCGAATTCCCTTCCCCTATTGAAGACGATGATTATTATTTCTATGGCGAGGACGGCACTCGAGTGGAGAGTTCTCGCGCGCATTCCCACGTTCCGTCTGTCGCACACCCGCATGAAGCGCAAATCACACGCGTGCGCCGCGTTATAAAAGACGTATGCGCTACGACACAATTTCGATCGCAGTCTCTCCCCGTCCCTTCGGCATCGATTGTTCTCTAATTTCTGTTCATTCGGGCCGCCTTTGGACCCTTCAATTATGACGACGCGAAGTGACAATTATAGGGACCATCGCGCGACAATCCACATTCACAATTGGACGCAGCTTTTGTATGAAAGAGACGCAAGCGTCCCGGCGTGTGAAAAAGTATAAAAAATAATTTCTTGAATGTCGAAGAAAAACGAGCACACTCTCTTTGTATCGTGAGAAACATGATCGGTGTCGTTAATCGTCTTACACGTGCAGCGTGCGCGAATAGTTCGCCGCTACCGTCGCAATAATTGCTTCATTCCGATTAATGAATTCGACTTGCGCGAGTGCGCGCGATCGTCTTTAAAATTCGAATTAGACCCCCCCCCCCCCACCCCACTCCAAGGTAAATAGCCCATAAAGGATATCCGGCGATCTCGCGATAAAATCCCGGTTAGCAGGTAAACATTCACGCTCGTCGCGGGTCAACCGGGCGGTCCCGCCCGGAAGTTCACAACCTTTAGTATTCGACGGGCGACTTTGCCGCGCTTTCCGATGGCCGAGCGGCCATAGAGCTACGAAATTTATGACGTTACGTGAGTGGTTACATGGACGACGAAGGACCTACTGACACGTTGTAAAATGAATACTCCCTCGTACGAAAAGACGTCGAGAGATTCGGCGGCTTTGAAATTACAGAAGGAGAAAGTTACAGAGAAGGGAAGAAAATGAGAGAAAGAAGTATCATTCATCGCGCACTTTTACGATCGAATCCCGTCGAGCGCAATATTATAGAAAGGCTACAGTAAAAATATAATTACCGCTAACCCAAATTAATAAAACGTTAAGGAAACTAATATGTAGGAAAACAGTAATTATGTCAGCAAGGGTGTCAGCGAGTGAGCAGAAAAATCCAAGATAACTCCAATGATCCGTATATCACAGCAAAGATAAAGGGATGATAGAAAGAAGGTGCTGGAGAGGGGGGAGATGAAATGAAATTTTACGTTTTGTGTCGTGAAATTTTACGTTTGTGGGCAATTAACATCTGAATTACATCGCGCTCCCGCCCCGCCCCCCCCCCCCGCGCCGAACTGGCGTGAGATCCCAATCGAGAAAGACAAATGTACGAGATTAGAACGTGGTGTGTTTTTTACATACGAAAACGCGACCTTGGCCGGCGTCCGGTCGGTCTTTAATTACAGCCGGAAATGAATTGCAGATACTCACGCGCGTAGCAGGACCGCGAGAAGAGAAAAGGAAAAGGTAGCGATTCCGTCTGTGCCGGTTCGTGTAATAAAGTATATAGAAATAAATAACACGAGGAATTCATCTCATGCCGAGCAATTATCCTCGTTATCTCGATTAATTGACTTAGTAATTGGGTCAAATCAGCGCATCCGGTCGCGGAGGAGAAATTTCCACGTGGCCGCTGCTCCGTCAAGATTTCAAGTCGGGTGTCGCCTCTCTCTGTTTTTCGCCGCGTGTTTCCGCGACAGCACGCGCGCTGATCCACTGATTTCTGTTGCGTAGAGCTTTTCCCCGCGGCATTTAACCGCGCTGAATTGTCTCGGAGAGTTCGCTTTCGCACCTCCTCTCTTTCTCCTCTCGAAAAGCTATTTATTCGCGATGTAAATGTTTTTCGCGCATGCCGAACGGAACGCGCGAAAAACAGATACCCGAACCGCGCTCGCGTGGTTTTGGTTTCGTTTGTAGAATGCCAGTGTGTTTTCACGTGTCTTCCGCTGCACACGCCGCTGCACAGCGTGTCGCTGCGCTGGCACGAAACGGAAATATCCGTCCATATGTTGACACGAGGTCGTATAGGAGATCTCTCACATCCTACAGTAACGTCGAAAGAATACGCGCCTCCGTGCCGTAAATTTTTTCCGTCCCAAGAGCCGGGGAAGGAGACAGGCCCCTGAGTGAATAATCGCGTCCTACTCGACGGTTATTTTCACAAATGCGGACTTCCCTTCGCTGCGATTCCAACGTTCGCTCACACCGGAACCTCCGACGCGTCGAATTTGCGCGTCGCGGTATTCGCACGCGGTGAATTCGCCTAATGTCGCGGATTTCGCTTTTCGAAAGGCAGACAGATATCGAGAAACATCGGCGGATAGCGGAGACAAATATTGAGAGAGAAAACAAACGACGAAAGGTCGAGCGAGCTTTTTGGAAAAAAAAAGAAGAGAGAAGAGAAAAGAGGGAGAGAGAGAGAGAGAGAGAGAGAGAGAGAGAGAGAGAGAGAGAGAGAGAGAAATGCGAGAACTATTTTTGCGACGTATGAACTGGTGAAAATCCGCATCTACCCGGTCGCGCGGCGATAGCGCAAACAAAATGAGCGAGTACGTCGAGAGAAGCGCGATAGACCGAGGCACATAAATCTATTGAAAGACGGAGGTCAGTAACCGGCGAGATTAAGCATTCCGCCGGCATATTCGATTCCATCCTCATATTATTTACCGGTTGTACTTCCTGGTGTTGCTCCAGCACGAAACCGGCGCTTCCGGCGCTGACAGTTAGTTATGACCGACGACGACGACGACGACGACGACGACGACGACGACGACGACGACGAGGAGACGTCAAACTCGGCACGACACGACGTTAAATCAACTTTCGACACTGGAGTCGACTCGATGCCGCGACGACGGGAAGGGGGAGCGCAAGTCTCAATTAATTTATTTAATTATGATAAACGCAATTATAACATATAAAGATTAAATCTCTCCCTCGCACGCGCTCCCTCATTGGAACGTTGAAACAACAGTGGCCAGAGATCTCTTTTTTTTCTGTTTTTTTTCTTCTTTTTTTTTAAATAAAGCAACCAGGCTCGCGCAGCGCGCATTTTGACGATGCACAACGCGTCACGTCACGATCTTCGTGCGAGATTCTCTCTCCTCGCGTGTCTGCTTTTATCTTTATTTTTATCCTCGCTTGACCTTTCTTTCTGCCACGTGCGTGTGCCGATAATAAAAACACGGACGATACATCTTCGAGGAATTAATCATCCTTAATTACTGCCGTGCGCGCGCGCGCGAGAGAGAGAGAGAGAGAGAGAGAGAGAGAGAGAGAGAGACGCGCGAGTCCTGAAATCGCCCTAATTAAACCGCGCGAATCGTGCTGGTGTAATTAGCGGCAATTAATGCCGGAGTGCATGCCGAAGCGTGTTCGTATCCGCGCGGCACGGACTCGCTCGGCTCTTATTGCCGGACTTCTTCACGGCGACGGGGTGTGTTCGTCGTCGTCGTCGTCGTCGTCGTTCCAAGTATGGCGCAACATCCGGAGGACAGGTAGGGATATTTTCCCGCTTCGATGTTTACGCGCGCGAGTTATAAACATTTACGCTCGCTCGCGAGATTTTGTCCAGAGACCGACACACACGTGCGTGAGAGGAAAACAGGAGAGAAAAGGAAAACTCGGTTCCTCCGTGAAACCATAAAGTTCACCACTTCTAACCGTGTTTACTGAATTCACGTTTACTGAATCACTTACGATATATCGACACGCTTGTCTCGCGAATTTCTCTTGTCGCGCACACGCGCTCCTCTATTAATCGCACGTCGATGGATAAATAAATAACCGGGCAAGTTGCGTTAACAAATAGGGTGACAACGTCGTTTCTATTTCGCTGACTGACGTAACGTTAAGCGCGCGGGACCTCAAAGCGCGATAATCGACGCCGCTGTTTTGCGCGCGACGTAACGAAAACCGCACACGCTCGGCGCGTGTCGAAAGGGTATTTTAAGGGCCGATATATCGAGAGGTCGATACAGCGGAAACTCGCTTTGCGCGGCCGGGAAGGCGGTGCTGAAAATCTCTCCCCTGGGAATACACGCCCGACTCGCTTGATTTGAAACGTCAATTTAGATTCGTGCTTGAAAAGGGATTCGAGAGGCGCGATCAGAGTTGGAACGAACGACCATCAAGTACATAAACGAGCTTTGATTGGTCAATACGCGATGTCCGGTAACTGCGATTTATCCAGCGAACCGAAAGTCGCGCCCGCCTTGTTATTCACCTATAACTCTCGCTCGCATATTGATTCCGCGCTCGAGCGTCGATCGATCGGCCGGCCAAATTGTATTTCTCGTCGAATCGCGACTCGTGATATCCACCGCGCAGCGCAGGGAAACGAAGCAACGAGAGAGAGAGAGAGAGAGAGAGAGAGAGAGAGAGAGAGAGAGAGAGAGAGAGAGACGAAAGTTGGGCTGAAAAGCGCAGGGGGCAGGAAAGAAACGCGGGAGAAACTTTCACGTCACACAGCAGGAGAATTCCCACGGAGAACTTTCGCGCGGTCACGTGTCGCAGGATCAGAGGGACACGTAAATAAAGTTGTTTACCAAGCGCATCGGCAATAAAACGCACGCGAGCGCACGCACACTCGCGACGGTTCTGCAAATGCATATGTTCGGGATGCGCGTATGTGTGCGACCTCTCAACCTCAACATATATAATTAAATAATGGCAAGTAGTTCCGTCGTGCTTCTTCCCGGTGGATTCACGAGCCGCTTCTCGAAGTAAACGAGATCATCTCGATCGCTTGTCGGGCCGTCGGCCACGTTCTGCACGGGAAACTGCCCGCGGGTCTTCGTTGTTTAATTAACAAGCGGCTCGTCGTTCTCGATAATTTGTCAGAGTAATACA